AGAGAGAGAGAGAGAGAGAGAGAGAGAGAGAGAGAGAGAGAGAGAGAGAGAGAGAGAGAGAGAGAGAGAGAGAGAGAGAGAGAGAGAGAGAGAGAGAGAGAGAGAGAGAGAGAGAGAGAGAGAGAGAGAGAGAGAGAGTGAGAGAGAGAGAGAGAGAGAGAGAGAGAGAGAGAGAGAGAGAGGTACCAAAATGATAATGAATAGTTAAATGTAAAGATTTATTTGACATTTTAGGAATTTGTTTAATAATTTCTTAGTATTGAGATTAATATAAGATTTCCTTCAAAAATTAAGAACTAAAATGAGTGTTTACAACGAGAGAAAGTGTTATGGTGAGAGTTCGAATTGAGAACATGAAAGAAAAAAATAATTATTCCATATCAAATGTTATTTTAAATCCTTTGATTTTATATACAAACATTTCTTTTTAAATTTCTCATTATTTTTAAGAATAATTAAATTTAATATTTAAATAAATACTTTTAATTGGTGCCAACTTTTATTTTAATACATGATATTTTAAATTCACTTTAAAATTGAATTTCGCTTATGTAATATTCATGTAAACATAATTTTAAATAATTATTATCATTAAAATATGACAACTTAATTTATGAAGTATTTAGTGATTTTTAACCTCTTTATTAAATACTTGTTTGGTTGTTACACGTGAAATATATATTTTAACATTTAATATAGAAACTAGGCAATTTTAATAGAAAAAATAGGTGATGCATTGCATTAAAAAATAAAGTTCTCATTGACAATTTTATAATTAATTTCGTGCAAAAAGTTTTAAGCTTATATTTCTATATAAATACAATGTTAACAATCGGTCTGGAGATTCAGGACCAAAAAGGGGGTTTTGTTAAGAGTCATGCAAGCCTGTTTGTTTTGCAATTATAATTTATAAATGGTGTTTACAATGAAACAAAATTTGGCCGACGCAAGGGACAAAATTTTAAACAGATTAAACAACTGAAACAAGTATCTCAATAATTTAGAAAAAAAAAATTAAATCTCTAAGGTGATAGAAGTATTTGGAAGTTTTCAAATACGTTTTTAAACTATTTTCTTTTAATTAAGTTCTTTGATTAAAAAAAAAGGTCCTTGAAGTTAGTTTTTTATTTTTTATTTATGAGAACCCAACTTGGTTAAGAATACAATTAACACATTAAGCATTAAAAAAAAAAATACAACTCATACACCCTACTCAATTAACTAAGTTACAGTGCTAGATCACTCACTTAATGACTTAAAAGTTAAAACTGTAAACAAAATAATTTAGGAAATTTCTTCGATACCTATTTTGATTAGAGGGTTTTTGTGCCCCTTGTTGTTATGACCAGTAGTCGCTTAACATGTGTATTCATTATTCATGTTAGCAGCACTTTTGAAAATTTGACCATTATTACGGATATTTGTTAACCCTTTTGTGTGACCTAGGATATCCATATGATTTGGAGATTCAACAACCTAAAACCGACGCACATATGCGTGAACAATGTCGAGGTGGAAAGTTGTTGTATGGTCACTCGACAGTAAATGAGACAATGGTGGTGACGAGACCGCATAGGTATTGGATGAGACACCTTGTGCTTTTGTGAGCTTGAAGGTAGGGTTGAAGAAAAAACCCTCTATGAAGAAAATAATTGAGTATTGTTGGAAAAATATGTCGCATTATTATATGGTTCAAAAAACGGTAATTTTCAATGGTGAGCTGCCAAAGACGTCTACAGAGAAGATCTATAAGTTTGTGCTCAAAGAAATTGCCATGGACATGGGACCCTTCAGGCAAAGTTGAATGTGAACAATGATGGGCGATCAAAATCAAATTTTCATTAATCAATTTTTCATGTACATGTACATTCTGTTTCACATATAATCATCATTGAGAAGATGGTGGTTTAATTTTCGGAAGTCGATGGACGTAACATGGACGAGGGTAGAGGAGTATGGTGTATATATAGAAGGAAGGTCTCACCTATTTGTACCTCAAACAATAGATGTCCCTCATTTTTGGGTCATTAGGGTCCCAAATCACACGAGTAACAAGTGTCACACATAAATGGGTTAAAGTCAAAATTTTAAAATTACAGATGACATGTACAATTAATACCCGGGTTAAGTAAGAATTGATTATAAAGATGAAGGGCACCAAACACGTGTTAATATTCTTCGTGTATGAGTTATAAAAATAATATATATTCTTCGTCTATCAACCCTGAAAGCCAACGTTAAGTAGTGTCGGTATGTTAATATGAGAAGAGTCATTATTGCTGCTATTTCTCGTTTTCTTAAAAACCATTAACAAACCACCGTGCGTGCCAATTGCCATACCCTTGAGACACCGTCGCAAACAAACTACCTTTGACAAAACCACCATGTTGCACACACCACCACCTGCAACCAGCAAGGTCTAAAAGGAAAATTAGAAAGGGTTTAGTTTCTTAGACACCTTATATATATATCCATGGGACTCCCTCTTTCAAGACAAATTTTTTTTCTGAGTCAAGTAAATATTTTATTTTTAATTTATTAAAATATAAAATGTATTTCTAAAAGGTGTTGGAGAGATTTTTTTATCTTGTAATAGGTGTTTACAAAACAGTTCCAATTAGAAATAAAAAAAAAAGTAAACAAAAGGAAAAAAACATAATATAGAAAGTAACCCTCATAAGCAATTTTTGGTGGGCTCAAATTTAAAAGAGAAGGCGGAAAGGTTGCTGCCTAACTTACGCTTTAAATTTTCCCCCCAAATAATTAGCAAGTAGAAAAAGCTTAAATAATAAAACATTAACGAAAATCATATCAGTAGTTAATTAAATATTGGCTGTCTGGCATCATTTAGCATTGATTAGCCAGTACTGGCGCTAGTTAATGTAAACCATATTTTCCAAATGACTTTTCTTTTTGACAACATTTTCCAAACCATCTACTTTTTGTAATATATATAGTCGTCACCATCATCACTATAACAATCATTACATTACCATTGTCATTACAATAAGTCTATGACTATTTAATCTACAAATATTAGGTAAAATCAATGCTTATATTCATATTTTATCTTATAACGTACTTATATTATATTTTATAACTTTTATCTTATTCCCATCACCAAACGGCCTAGCTTTATGAACAAGATGCTAATATATTAATATATATCTTTCCTCAGTAATGATAATGTAGCTGAACGGGATATTATAGGGTATATAGTAGTCTATACATGAAGGGTGGATGTTATACAGTGTCCAAATTCTGTGAGAAATTGTAGCATAGCAGAGAGAAGCAGCAGCAGACATGAAGACGCGATCATCAGTCCCTTTGTTCCTGATGTGTGTTATGATGATTTGGCTTCACGCTCATCTCAGCGTTGCATCAGTGTGCGATGGCTCCGTAGAGGATTGCCTCAACTTGGAGTCACAACTTCCCACTCTCTCCAGCTCCCACTTTAGCAGAATTCTAGCTGAAACCAATCGTTATGCGACTTTAAATTCAAACGATCCTAATAACCGTCCCTTCTGTTCCTCTGCCAATGGTTATAAAAATTGTTTAGCTGATCCGGGTACATCCGCACGAAGATGTCAAGAAATTACCAAGAGGGATTGCCATTACCCATGATTCTCTAATGCTTTTGCTACTGTTGTACTTGTACTATATATGTCTCTATTATTGCCCATGTTTTCGTTGTTGCAAGCGAATAACTTCATCTCCTCAACTGGACAAATTTCCAGGAAGAGATTGTCAACATTTATGTATGTATGCTTTTCTGCTTTCAATTCATTGAAGCCAAATATATAGTAACTACATACTATATATGTATCCTCTCTTTGTCTCTTAACGTAATAATGGATTGCTGGATTCCAAACTCTATCCCTCGATCTCATGACTCAAAGGACCAGTAATAAAGGAACAAGTATATAAAAGGGTTCTTGTTTTCGAAATGTTTGCTTATTTATTTTTTATATGTATAATTATGCTCGTAAAGAAGTACTGTACTAAAACCGAAATGTAAATAAAAGTATTTGTGTCTTTTACATTTTACAAAATTATCATTTTTTTTTATTTTCCTTCTAATTTAAGGAGAAACACCATGTGAAAGTGAAACCCGCCTAAATTCTTCTATCTACATATATTTTGTGTTGTGTTTGGTATTATGAATCCCCAAAGGAATGGCTGATCGGAAGGAACAAAATATATATGTCAGAATTCATTTGTTCTATTATTTGGAACCTCCCAAGAACGTGAAAATGAAGAAAAAGTATAGGCAAGTCTCACATCAAAATAGTTTACCCTCAAAGATGGATGGATCAGAGGAGAAAGATGTTTCTTTATGTAAAAAGGCAAAAGTGCTCCCTGTTATTTATTTAAAAATCATTTGACATGAATTTCAAAGCTTTGTTTAGCTGAATGATCCCATACAAGTATTTTACTATGCTTACAAGAACAAAATTCAAAAGAAAAGATATATCTTATCAATATTCTATTTATTTAAAAATTTTATTTTTTAATACCTTATTTTATTTATTTATTTTGTACGATGCATAAAAATATCTTTTACGCAAATTACTTATCACGTTCACTCTTTAGTTAAAGGTATTTATATGCAAATATGTGTTTATTTTCTTTCTTTTTAAATCCTATTCAACCAAATATAATCCTTTCATTTCTCTTAATTAGTTGATATGGTAAAAAAAAAAATCAGTTTTTTTCTCTTTTTTTTTTTCCCCTTCTTTCTTAACTACTTTTAATTTTTCCCCTTAAATAAAACATAATAAGGATTTCAAAATGTGATATTTTCTTTACTTTGAAAATGGTTCCTCTACTTTTCACCGAAAGCAAACAGAGTAAAGAAAATTAATTTTTGTTATTAACCGGCTCTTATAGTATTTTTAAGAACTATTCTTTAACAAAACTATTTCAAAAGATTTTTTTAAAATTTTTATCTAATTCAATTTTTTATTTATCACATTTATTTTTAATTAAAATTTAAAATTTAAAAATAAATTATTAATAATAAAATAATATATATTTATCTTACATCTAAAATATGATTTATATATTAAAATTTCTTTTATATTAGTTTTAAATATAATTTATGTACTAAAATATAGTTGTGGAATAGAGGTACTGGTCTGATTAGAAACCAACATTCATTCTATATAATTTTAGTCAAAATGATCAATTTAGAAACGGTGTCTTACATTTATCTTGCGAAAATGAATGGTCTGAGAAAGGCATCTCCTTTAACAGTATGATGGAAACAAGTGCATGTATTTACTCTAGGCAAGGGCTAGCTAGGGCATAAATAGGTGGGAAATTTAGTTTCACCTTATTTAAGATGCAACTTATAATTATACATAACGGAGTCGGGTCATGTTGGGATGGGTTAATTAAGTTAATTTAATTATTCAAATATTAATATATTTAAACTTTTTGAAAAATACAATTTAAAAACAGTAAAATAAAGAAAATTCAGAAAATAAAATTTAAAGTATATGATTAATATTAATATAAATTATATGATGAATACACGTCTCAAATAATAACACTAGTATAAATCAATGTCTTAACTAATTCACAGTTCCCTTAAAAAAACCTAAATACATAATTAATGTTTTATTAATTTTAGTTTAGGTTGAATTGCATTAAAAATTTATTAAGTAATTAATCGGTTAAATTATGTTTAACTCAACTCAATTAACTAAAATGTGATTGGATCATTGTTGATCAAATTTGTGAGTCAATCTTATTACGCTCAAAGTATTTGGTGAAGATGGATTTGATCTTAAGTATAATTATTTTGATTAATAAATAAGTTATAATTAATAAAAAAAAATTGATAAGCTAGTTGAAAGTTAAAAAGTTAACTAAAAATTGAAAATTCATTTTTTAACTAAAATTTTAAAATTACCAAATTAATTTATTGAATTAGATATATTTAATAAAATTACTATTAAACTGGATAATGAATATAAATTATATATAATGATGTATTTATATAAATTTGTAGAAAAATATTTTCAGTAATTTTGCATTTTTAGTTAATTTTGAATTCTTAGTATTTATTTAAAAAAAATTATTAAAATTAAAAGGGTAAATAATTTAATATTGATCGATAAATTTATTTATAGAGGAGTATATTAATTAATAATATTGTTTACTAAAGTTTTTAACTTTTTAATCTTTTAATTGATGCCCTGAAATTATTGCTTAAATCAGACTAAAATAATAAGATTAGATAAAGTAGTATATTACTGGACAAGCCTATTTCCTACCGGCCTACTTCTTATTGCACATAATTTTAAATTTTTAATGGACGTCCTAAACATGTGAACTAATAAAATAATAAATAAATAAAAAAACTTGGAGTTCTGTGCGCACGTGAACCTCAATAATGAGTTTTGTCTCGACTTCTACAAGCTTTTGAGTTTTGGCTATGTTAATATATTATTTATTCTACAAGTTGATTATGCTTTATATGCATAAAAATATATTTAAAGAAAATTGTGTTCATGAAAGGCGACTTGACGCTTTCGTAAAACATTTTAGTTTTCCTGAAATACATATTCTTTCTTTTTAAATAATTATATCACTTTTGCATCATCTTTTTCTGAATTTAATAATTTTTAATTTAAAATAAAAAAGTTAACTGTAAAAAAATTAGGTACAATCGATCATGCTTTTTAACTATTGTTGAGGTTCAAAATTTTTTATACGTACATGTAGTCCAAAATTATTGAGTTTTATAAAACTAGATATGACACATGTAATCCTAAATTATTGAGGTTCTTAAAATTAAAATAAAAAATATTGAGATTCTTATTTGTTTAGAATTTTGTCACTGTGTCCCCGAAATTAGTTGGCAAATTAAGGACCATTTTTAATGTAAAGCAAACAGGACTGCATGCATGGACGGTTAACAACAACCATTTTGGCCTTGATATTAACATTTTACTTGAAGAATAAGTTTAACAAACTTTTGCATGAATTTATTAGAATTGATGGATTTTATTTTAGATTCCATGCAGTGTGTTATCAATAACTCTATATTAAATGTGAATTTTATAAATCTAACTGTTAGATTGAAAGTTCTTTATTTTTATATTATATGTATAAAATTTTATATTAATTTAATCTAAGATAATTTGATATTTTATTTTTATAAAAAAAAATTGACATAATATATATTTTAAAATATAATAAAATATGAACACTTTGATTACTTTCAAATTATTATTTAATTTTAACAAAATTTGATATAAACATATAAAATGATATGAAATTATAATTCAACGATTGAATTTACAAAATTCATATTTAAATATATGAAGTAATACTTAATAATAGTATTGTTTGAACCCTCCTCTCTTTCTATATATATATAGCTTCTATACAATTTATATATAATCATTTATGATACAAAATAATCATTTATATTTAATATATAACTGTTAATAATTTTAAAAAAAAAACACATAAATATAGTTCATTTGATTTCGGCAATCAATCAAAGAGCGCAAATTTATTCAGACATCGACAGAAAGTAATGTTATATGTCTGCCTATAATCTAACATAAACTTACATTTGAAGGGGAAAAAATTATTTTTATGAAATCAAGAATGATAAATATAATTTATTAATCAAAGGCCCATAATTTTATAATTTTTACCATTAAATCCTTTTAAGTGTTGAAGCATCGATTTTAAGTTACATTTTGTTAACCAAAGCTGGGGTGCCAATTCGCAGCACTAAACGTCCTGAGAAAAAAAATTAATAATTTCATTCAAATTTCTTTTACTAATTTTAGTTACAAGTAGTCTTTGTCTATGAGTAAGAAATAAAAAATATGCATTAGGCATCATTTGAGCCTGCAAAAAGGGGGGTGGGTAGGGGTGGGGGTTAGGGATTTGTTCTTAATTTCTCATTTTTTACAAGCAAGCATACCCTAGCCCCTCCCTTTATAAATTAAGGAATTGATGGATTCTTCTCTGGGCTAATAATGAATATTTGAATTCAAGACCAAATTCTTTTAATGAATTTACTGTAATGGATATTCTTAGTGTTGCCTTGGATTAGCTACTTGCCAATGAGTTAATCTCAAACAATAATGATTTTAATAACAAAAAAATGACAATAATTTAATGCCTGAATTATTTCAGATGGTTGGTCTTGTTACTAAGATTTTCTTATGGTGGTGTGCAAGCATGTGATGTTGATCCAGGCTGAAACATAAAAAATCATTAGTGTTAGTAGAATTATATACCAACTTAAACGTTAAATACCAGCATAAATTGTGTTTATGCTTTCTAGAAACCAAAATTGAAGTTAATTCCATTACCACACATGTATGAACATCATCACATCCACACAAAATCTTTCCATTGAGAGTGTCTACTGCTTGAAACGATCCTCCTCCCTCACTCCTCTGTGTAATAATAAATCATAAGAAATGAAGAATACAAGGAATATGGGTGAAAATTTGATGTTTTAATTAGCAACAAAATTTGGAAGAGAGAAAATTAATTTGCCTAAAACCCAACCTTGTAATAATCAACAGCAACGAAATTAGCCCACCGGTTACCAGCAGCACCATAACATGTGTGTAGCATGTTAATTAGTCCACCCGAATTATCATCACATGTGATTTCCTTAAGTGGAACTGTTCGAAAATAGTTCACCAACACCAAGGATTTGCTTTTGTCATTAAGAGGAGGTGATTCTGCCCTATTTGAACAACTCCCTTCTTTCCTACCACCATCCCCATCTGCATAATTCAAAACAACAACATGACTAAATTGAAAGTTGGCGGTAGGGAAGCAAGAACAAATTAATGCTTAAGAATGAAATAGGTTTAATGGGTGATTTTTTCTTACATTGATTTTCAACCATGAAATTCCACTGATAAGCAATGCCTTCACTTTGTTCCTTGGACTTGATAGAAGTGAACACTAGTAATCTCTGGTTTTTGGCAACCATATCACTCACTAGAGGCCAATCTTGACCATTTCTTGGCATGCTTGTCAAAGGAAACCAATATTTCATCAAACCGGCTTCAGTGAATACCTTTGTCAAACCATTTGGGGCATGAACATAGTCTTCCAAGATAATTGTGACAATTTCTGATGGATTTTCTGATAGAAAAGCTTCAATTTCCTTCAATGTGTCTATAGCAGGTTCCTGTTAGTTAATCACAAGTTAGGATCGATCTCGGTGTAGAAATGATCTTTCAAACTTTTTTCTCCAAAAATAAGTTTGAAAAGCATAGACCAAAATAAACACAATTGGGTAAATGATTTTACATACAAAAGCTGTGATGTCGTGGCATTGGCCTCCAAATGAATGGCATAACCACACGTCTCCATCAAAATCATATGTATCAAGCATTAGTGCCCGCACGCCATTCTACAAATTAGCCACGGTTGAAATGAAACACAAGGGTGACTTAAACATATATAGATTATGATAATCCAAGCATTAGAAAAGAAATTAATGATATTAGAGCTATAATTAATAGTAGTGAATAACATACATTTAGTTGTTGAGTGACATTGTCTTCCTGGTTGGTGACAGTTACTCGAGGCACGCCTGTGTGAGATGGCTCCCCATCAATGGCAAAAGCATTGTGCGTTGTCAAAAATGCATATTTGTTGAATGGTAGAGAATTGTTCTATCCAGAAACAATTTATTGAATTAACTAGTGATAAAGATTAAACACGTCTATTTTTTTTTCTCAACCTGTAAAATAAAAATCATGCTGGTATCTATAAAGTTACATGGATACAGAAAACTATAATTTTTTTATATTATTATTGGTAAAATATGTTTTTGATATCTTAAATATTTTAAAATGTTAATTTTAGTCTCTATAAAGTTTTTTTGTTTTTAGTCCATGTATTTATCTAATAAAACACACATTTTTAATTTTTGAAGAGATTAAAATCATGTAAATGTAAAAAATAAAAACACATTTTTTGTAGAGACTAAATTTAATATTTTAGAATATTTTAAGGGACTAAAAGCATATTTTATCATATTATTATTATTGATTTGTTTTTCTATTGCTAAGTAGGCCTTTAGCAAATGGGCGGGCCCATTATCATTTTGACCTTTTCACTACATCCATTCACTTAGGTTATAACTTGTTTATAACATTGCACAGAATGAACTTACTTGTCAATTACTTAGGCCATCTACAACTCAAGATCTTTCATTATGATTTTAAGTGATTCTATTTTTACACATTACTTTTTTTTTTTTTTTAATCTTTTCAACTTAAGCACCCAATCCTTCCAACCTAACATCCTCAAAAAGTAAAAATAAAATTACTAAGTCCTACCAATAACTTTAAGCCCTTAAATTTCCTCAATGATAATTTTATTTATTAAGTTATAATTATCTTACTTATGAAACAATAAAATAAAAAAAAAAGATTTATTTGTACTATTTTTTGCATAACACTTTTTTTATTAATTGGAAATGAAACTTAAAAAAATAAAGCAATCAAGTTTGATGAATTAAATTTTATGTAAAATGATAAGAAAAACATTAACACAAACAATGTATGTGCTTGAATGAGAAATATGTGTGCCATTGATTTTGTTAATACAATCATAGTCGCTCATTTCTCTGACACAAAGACAAGGATACTTAATAATACGTTAACACGTGAACAATGTACATGTTTGAATTTGAAAAATATGCGTCATTGATTTTTCCAATATCATATATCATATCTGTCATTCTTTTGTTTTCACAAAGGCAAAGACACATGATTTATGATGAGGTTAATTAACTTGTTGTGATTGAAACATAATAAATTGATATAGAAATGCAAGTTTAAAAAATTGAAAATTACTAGAGAATTTTGAAAATCTAGGTTAACGAGAGATTGAGAATTTTGCATCAAATTTAATTAAGGATTGAGAGTCCATTTGATGAAAACAAATAAAAGAAATTGAAGATTTGAGATATGATGAGTAATTTTTTTTAGATGAGATAGAATATTTGTATACACGTAAATAATGATATTTGATTAAATCTAATTACAACAACTTTGTAAATTAAGGTCTGGTACACGACCTTTCACTTTCGTGACATTAATTTTCCAACGTTAAACAGATTGATGGATGATGATTAAAATATTTGTCCACTAGTAATTAAAAAGTTGTGCAAATTGCGAGAATAACATTACTCTTTCTAGTTCCGCGTTTGTCAAATTCAATGTTCGTAAAGAATTAGGCAAAAAGAAGAGAGATAGATATCTTACTACGAGCTTGAATTGATTTGTGATGGTTGATCTCACACACCTTGAGCCTAAAAACCCAAGTGGACAGGAAAAACAATAGAGCCCGGCGCCACAATCACCATCGGACGAACACTCATCAAGAAGCTAAGTAATCAAAGATTAGTTTGAAATCAACAAAAGATGAAAGCAATAAAACATAATTAACGTTATGAATTGACTAAGTCGTGGAGTGGGGATACAAAGTACAAACCTTGCAACTTCCATTAGAACAATCGGCGGCAACATTGTAAAGAATTGGAAGAATAACCACAAACAAGCACGGTAGAAGAGAATTCATGTGGGCAATGGTTAAAGAAAATAACAAGCGAAGAGACTAGAATCTACAAAGGAGGTCCAATTTATAGGAATGCTTAATGATCGATTGTGTCTCGGCTGAGATAACTACGCAAATTCATGGGAATATTCCCACACTATAATCCAAATTAAAGGCAAAGTTGTTCATAAGAGAATTTTTTTTTTATTTATATTGGATTGAGATTTCACTTTTTTTAAAAATAATTTATTATAAAAAATTTTATGGTATTCAATTAATACTTTTTTAATATATAAAAGTCATATCTTATTTAATTAAGATAATTATGATTTTTTAACAGTATATCAAAATTTGGTGATATTCAATTAAGACAATCGGAATATTTTTAGGAGTATGTTAAAATTTGATAGTATTCAATTAAAATATTTTTCACTTAAAAAAAGTTTACTGAGATTCAAAAATATAGATATTTCAATGAATTATTTTGAAAGATAAATTTTGAGAGATTTTTTTAGTAAAATTTACATATAATTCACTTTTCCAACAATTTCACAAAAAAAAAAATTAGATTTCACATGACTTTTTTTTTTAATTTATTTCTTCTCATTTTTTGTTCTCGCACCTTTCTTTTGAAAGTTTTGACATTAGGACTATTGCTGTTAATTTTGAAAAAATACCTAACATATTGAAAAAAAGAGAAAAAAACAAGGGAGAAAAGAGAAAAAGACAAAGAGAAAGATAAAGACAATAATATTTGAGATGTTAGAAAAGAGATATCAAATTTGGATGACAAAACTTGTTTTATAGTTACTGATTTGTTTGATACTAAAGCAAACAAGGACATTTTCTTTAAGATACCATTAGAAGAATGTTCATCTTTGATAAACTTCAAGTTGTGATTTTGATTGTATATTGGTTGAAGTATATTTTTTAAGTGACATTTTGATTCTATTTTATTGAAGTATTTAATTTATATTTTGATGGATTTATAATGATTGAACGTTAATAATATATAAAAGAAATTTGAATTACATCGAAGTTATTAATAGCACTCATATTTTAGCAATGGTGAGAGAACAAGATGTAAGAAATTATTGTAATCATCATAGAAAGATATCACAAAATGTATTAATAGCTTGTAACTTTGATTTGGAATTTATGTATATTCTTGGTAGGTGGGAGGGTTCAAATCATGATTCAAAGTTGAGTGATGCTTTGACAAGGAAAAATGGACTTAAAGTGTCCTAATTTAATTTTTTAATACATACATATATATATATAT